TCTCTCTCTCTCCTTCTCCCCCCTCTCACACACACGATGAGACAGTGTGGTACAGTCGCGCTTTTCTTTGTCGTGTTGCGTATAGAGAACATGGCAACACACACACAAACGCAAACACACACAGTTTAGTGCTTCAGTTGGTTTGGTGGTTGGTGGTTGCAAAGCTCTTTTACTTGGTGGAGCTTGGCCTCTGGATCGTGAGGGTTGGACACTGTGGCTTGGGCTCAGGAGTGCATTGATGGCGTGCGGACGACCGTGCGACCATGACCGAAAGGTGAGTTAAACCCTCCCCATGTATGTGTGTGCATGACGGAAAGGTGAGTTAAACCCTCCCCCATTTTTGATGTGTTTTTGTCCGTTTCCCTCGCTTCTTTGCCGGATTGGATGGAAAGAAGAACCACTTGAGAGGGAGAGAGGATCACGGTCAAGGCAATTGTGATGCTCCAACAACACATGATGACCGGTTCAAAGATGTGGGTAAAAAAGGATTGATTGTTTGGTCTCAATGGATCGATCCATTGTTTAACCTCAGTCTATAGATCGATCGTTCGATCCGTTGTGTGTTTGTGTGTTTGTGTGTGTGTGTGTGTGTGTGTGTGTGTGTGTGTGAGAGAGAGAGAGAGAGAGAGAGAGAGAGAGAGAGAGAGAGAGCAGCTTTTGGAGTGTGTTTGATTGTTAGCCCGATCGAAGGGAGCAGAAATGCACATCTGGTTTGTTTAATGGTGAAGACGAGACATCTGCTTTGTTTAATGGTGAAGATGACGGGATGAGGGTTGCATGGTCACACTGTGGGAGATCTGAGCTGACGATGGAATGTATCTGACTGCAAGGACTCATTTGATCAATAGATTAATGGATCTTAAGCTTAGCATGGGCTCTGCCAGAATGACTTGAGCGCTTCGGTTTGACAATGGCTGATATTCTGCTCCACCTCAGCACGCGGTTATGACTTTGGACCGTGACGTTGGACATGTCACTCAGGCAGGGGCCATGTTTATCTCTGTATTGATACAATACTTATCTCTCTGTATCGATCCGATACTAAGTGGCAGAAAAAGAATGTGTGTGTGTGTGTGTGTGTGTGTGTGTGTGTGTGTGTG